TTAGCATCACCTAAATCATCACCAGAACATGCCCATTCACTCTGGATGCAAGGGTACTGAAGCGTCTGCATCTTGTTTCCAAATTTGAATTTCATGTATTTTTTTAAATTATTGCAGTAACATTGGTTTATAAAATTATATAAATTTCAGGTGTACATCATAAAATATTCCAAATTCTGTGTAGATTACATCATGCTCACCACCCAAAGACTAATTACAATCTATCACCACACACATGTGCCTAATCACCACTCTGGCCCTCCTCCTTCCCCCAAATTGGAATTTATGATAAATTGTTTGGTAGGCTTCCCCTATGCAGAAAGAGAAGAAAAAAGCGTGAAATGTGACATCAGCTGGCAGCTGATTTAAGCTGCTGACACCAGAATTTAAGGGCAGAAGTTTCATTTATACCATCATACGAATAGAATGCTGAAATCCAAACCCACCTTTCATTTTATAAACGAGGAAACCGTGGCCCAGACAGAGGCTGTTCATTATCTTGATCTAGTGATGTTTCCATATGTCAAAACTTATCAAATTCTATACCTTAAAAATGTACATTTTATTGTATGCCACTTATACATCAAGAAAGCTCAACTATACATCAATAAAAAAAGTTAATTGTAAAAATGTTTAAATAATACAGTAGGACAAATGACATAAGCCCCTACTTGCCATTTTATTATGTTATGAAGTTCAAGTGCTCATACAAAAAATTATATATATATGATTTATCATAATATAGTATGATAATACTACGGTACAATTTACTTTTGTATGTGGGTGTGTGAGGAAGATTGGCCCTGAGCTAACATCTGTTGCCAATCTTCTGCTTTTTGCTTGAGGAGGATTGTTGCTGAGTTAACATCTGTGCCAATCTGCCTCTATTTCATGTGGGATGCTGCCACAGCGTGGCCTGATGAGCGCTGCTAGGTCCACACCCGGGATCTGGGGAGCCAACCCCGGGCCACCAAAGTGGAGACTGCAAACTTACCCACTATGCCACCAGGCTGGCCCCCAATTTACTTTTTAACATACTATTTGTACTACTTATCTATGACTACATAACATATTACCACAAAACTTAGCAGCTTAAAACAACAAACATTTACAACGACACAGTTTCTGGAGTCAGGAATCCAGGACCATTTAGCTTCCTGGTTCAGGCTCAGGGTCCTCACGAGGTTGTCCTCAAGCTGTTGGCTGGGCTTACAGTCATCCGAAGCTTCAACTAGACCAGAGGATCCAATCCTGAACTCAGTCAGGTGGTTGTCCACTACCTAGCCTTGGTTCCTCCCCCTGGAGCCTCTCCATAGGCTGCCTGTGTTTCCTCAAAATGTCAACTGGCTTCTCCCAAAGCAGGTTAGGAAGGTGAGAAAGAGAGAGTGAGAGAAAGAGACAGACCGAGGGAGTGAGAGCGAGAGCCCAAGGTGGAAACCATGGTCGTTCCTAACCTAATCTGGGAAGTGACATACCTTCATTTTAGCTACATTTTATTGTTCACATGGAGAAACTCTCATACAATGTGGGAGGAGACAGCAGAGGGTTTGGAACCAGGAGGTGGGAATCATTAGAAGCTGTCTGGGAAGCTGACTACCACAAAAGTAAAACTGACATATGTACTTATCTTATCTACTCACACTTTTACACAGCTACATTGTGTTGTATATTTATTAACAGGTTCTTAACTATGAACACATGGGATATTTACTAGTTTTCTGTAGTAGAAATAATGAAACAATGAACATATAAGTTTGCCCACTAGGGCAAACATTTGGGTAAGATAAATTTCTTCAATGCATCTGTTTGATAAAAGATAAACACATTTAAAACTTAGATACATCCTGGGGTGGGCCCTGTGTCCCAGTCGTTAAAGTTCGCGTGCTCTGCTTAAGCGGCCAAGGTTCCCTGGTTTGGATCCTGGATGCGGACCTAGCACCTCCCATCAAGCCATGCTGTGGCAGTGTCCCACATAGCAGAACTAGAATGAGATACAACTAGGATATGTAACTAGGTAGAGAGGCTTTGGGGAGAAAAAAAGAAAAAAAAGAGGAAGATGGGCAACAGATGTTAGCTCCTGGCCAATCTTCCTCACCAAAATAAGCATTAAAAAAATCTTGGAAAAATTAAATAAAATTTAGATAGATCTAAATTTTTCTATAAAAACTTGGGAGTATAAGTTTACTTCCAACACAGTGGATGATATTGATCATTTCCTTAGACCCTCAGCAACACTGAATTGTTAAATATTTAAAATGTGGATAATATCTGATAAGGCTAAAAATATCACAAACTAGAAGTTCGAATACATAGGTGGATATGTGATAAAGGATGTAGAGTAGAACGTGGATTGTAAAATCTAGATGGTGGCTATGGAAACCGCATTCCTTTCCTAGGGCTGCCAGAACAAATTACCACACTGACTGGCTTAAAACAACACAAATTTATTCTCTCACAGTTCTGGAGGCTGGAAGTCTGCAGTCAAGGTGTCAGCAGGGCCCTGCTCCCTCTCAAGGTTCTATAGAGTTTTACTCTTGTGATTTCACATTTGTATGAAACCATTCATATTAGAATGGGAAAAGGTATTTAAAACATCACAAGCTTGTTTTCATCAGTATTTGATAGATTATTAGTGAGACTGAACATGTTCACATACAGATTGTGTATTTGAAATTCTTCTACGAATACCATCATGGACTTCATGGATTTTTTCCACTGTTCCCGTCTCCTTTTTGTATTGATTTCTGAGAAAACAAGTGAAGAATAAAACTGATTTCCCTGGTCCAGATATTGCAAATGTTTTCGTTTTATCTTTACCATGTGACCCTGTGTATGGTGAATGGAACCAGTTATATGTTTTTCAAGTAAAAACATGTGACTTTTGTCATGCAAGGGAAGAATTTACACACACCAATATAATAACGGCTATGGGACCATGATTTGAATTATGTAGGTTTAAATATTTGAACCAACACAAGTGTATTGAGATGTACAGAGGAGTAAAGAAACAATGAGCCTAAGATCCTATAAGCCAGATCCCATAGAACCACATGATATTCTGACAATATGTGTAATTGGACGAGCAAATGAATTACCAAAACCAGGTCATAGTTGTAGTGTCCAAATATCAAAAAAGAAAGAAGAAACATACCAGCAACGTAGAGAAACAGTACATGTTTAATATGATACCAGCTCCTCCAAAGGACACATCTACAAAATTAGGAAAGAGACTCTAATTATTTTCAAGTTTTAAAATACATCTTTGAAAAGTTAACATTCATACAATAAAGCAGAAGTCACAGAGCATCCATACTACAGGAAAGGGAAGGCAGACTGTCCTAAGATGCCACAGCCAGTCTGTATCCGCTTGAGGGAGAGCCAGGGGTGGAACCCTCCTACTAGAGAAAGGAGGACAGCGAAAGCCAACTTTGCCAACAGGCACTCCCACACTTCCACCTAAACTCAGTCCCCGCAAATTAGCCATACACCGGCTCCTGGCCGCTGCCTGGGTATGCGCCAGACACTGAAAAACTGGGCTTCAGTACCCAACAGTGTGGGGAGTACAACACAGGGAGCGCTACCTGCTCTTTTCAAATAAACAACAGTACAGTAAGGTGAACTGTAAGGCTGCAGAAACTTCAGAGGCAGCGTGGGAGAAGAAAAAGGAGGCGAAGCTACACTCCTCAGTTGACCTCACAACCAGGCTGTACAGCTGCCCTTAACCACCTGCAGAAAAGAAGAAAGGTCTGGACAGGTCCAGACCCAAACAAGGCCAACTGGGAGACTTGCCAAGGAAACACCAAGACAGCAATCAAGATGTTCCTAGACTAACGTGTAGTATACTGTTTGCAAGGCTCTAGCTTCAACTTCAAACTACTGAGGTTTACATGAGCAAGGAGATGATTGTTAGAAGACTAACACAGCTCGAGAATATCAAAATTCACAAAAGTTACACACCAGGTTTATCATTTCCTCATACGTAATTGACCAAAAGTAAACACTTACAATAAAGTTAAACTAATGGCGCTAATACAGACCAGTGAAGGTCTGGCAAAGGCGGGAAAGCGGGCGCGAGGGGCAAAAGAAGGGACCACAGGCCGCAGCAGGTGGCCCTCGCTGAGCAGGGAGACCCCTGTCCTCTCCCGGCCCAATCCCTAACCGGCAGCCCCACTTGAGGAGCGAGGAAGGGGGTTCTTGTGGGCCGCGAGCTTTGTCCCGGCCGCATCAGGGCTGCTGGAGAGTCGAAGCACGTGCGGCAACCGAGGCTGTGTGCTCCTGGCCACGGCGGGAGAGAAGCGGACGCGGCAAGTCTCCTTCGCGACTTTAAGGAAGGAGGGGAGCGAGGGGAGACCTCCAGGGAGCGAGCGGGGGCCAAAAGGTTGGCTGGGGTGGAGGTGGCATGGACAGGACGTGGCGGGAGACGCGTGGCAGTGTCAAGACGCCGAGACCAGGGGGCAAGGGGCGAAGCGAGCGAGCTCTGGCGCGGGATAAAACTATGTGGAGGGGAGCACTGTCGTGGGCGCGCCCGCCGCGCCGGGGATGTGGAGGTCGGCCGGCCGGCAGGCGGAGAGAAAGAAGAACGGCTTCCCTGACCGGGAATCGAACCTGAGCCGCGGCGGTGAGAGCGCCGAATCCTAACCACTGGAACACCAGGGACAGTCGGGTTTCCTGCCTCGCCTGCGCCTCCACGACAAGGGGCCCGCAGCCCGCCCGCTCGCCGCTCCCTCGCCACCGGGGCCCCCAGCCTTGCGCAGGCGAACCACCCACCGCCAAGGCCCAGGCACGCGCCCTCGCCGGCTTCCTGCTCGCCGCGCCCTCAAAACGCTGCGCGCGCCTCCTGCCCGCACGCACGCGCGCGCGCACACGCACACACACGCACAGCCGCACGCCCGCCGCCCGCCTCCGGGGCAGGAGGGCCCCGCGGATCGTCAAAACGTCGGCCTGCTGCGTTGGCCGGGAATCGAACCCGGGTCAACTGCTTGGAAGGCAGCTATGCTCACCACTATACCACCAACGCCGCACAGCCCGGCCTGCCCCGAGACGCCGGCCCGGGGCTCGCGCCACAGCCGTCCCGCCGCCGCAGCCTCCGCCGCCGCCAAGGCCGCCCCCTGGCGCAGCCCTGCTCCGACGCCCCGCCCGCCCACAGCGCGGCGCTGCCACCGGCGCCACCAACCGCCGCCCCGCGCCAGCGCCAGCGCCGCGCCCGACGCGGCAGCCCTCGTCCGCCGGGACCGACCGCCTCTGGGGGGCGCCCTCGCTGCCACTCCACCAAGCGACCGCCATTCCGACGCCGACCGCCCCGCCAAACCGCCGGCCAGGCGCACGCCCTCCACCGGCCACCTCGCCCCAGCCCTTCTCCACAGGCTGCACGGCGAGGCAACTTCGCGCACCGAGAGGGGACCCACCCGCCGCCCGTCCCGGCAGCTGTGCAGCGCGCGTCGCGTCGCAGGGAGCCCCGTACGCCAGCCGCTTGGGGCGGGCCGCTCGTCGGGTGCTGCGGGGAGCAGAGGAAGCCTTGGTTCGTCCGTGCGGAACCAGCGCCGGACAATGAGGAGGCCTCGGGGAGGTGTCCCGGTGGGCAGGCAGGGCACGGGTTGGGGGCCTGCGCCTGGCTGAAGGGCGGGGGTGGGAGAAGAAGGGCGCTCCTGGGCAAGCGGCCGGACGCAGAGCGGCGCCAGCAACCAAAAATGGGCGTCTTTCCTCCCCGTGGGAGAATCGAACCCCGGACTCCCGCGTGACAGGCGGGATACTCACCACTATGGAAGGAGGATGGCGGCGGCCTCCCCAGCGCCCGACTCCTCTCTGGCTGCCTGCTGACGCCGACCCCGCCCTCGAGGCCCTGCCCACCACCGGTGCCCAGTACGTGTGCCCCATCTGACCCGACAGCCAAACGACCGCATCATCCAACAAAGCGGACCGCGACCCGCACCCGGACCCCCACACGACCCCGACCGCAGGCCCGGCCCTGGCGGCTGGAAATGCCGTGTGGGCTGCCTCTTGCCTCCCGTGCTGACATCGCGCCGCGAGAAAGAGGACCTCTCGAGAGGGCCAGCGAGGCGGCGAGGAGAAGGGGGGCGCGCGCCGGGCCGCGTCCTTGTCCCGGCCGGCGCCCGGGGTGGGCGACGGGGCGGCTGCGGAGCCGGGCGAGTCCGCTGGCCTTGCTCCCCGTCGGCCGGCGCGCGCGTCCCGTCCGTGGCGCGCCCACAAAGACGCCCGCCAGGCGCCGCGGGCGGCCAAGGGCCCCGCCGGCCGCGTCGGCTCCCAGCCAGGCGAGCGGCCACGCGCCCAGGCCCGCCGTCAGGATGGCCGAGCGGTCTAAGGCGCTGCGTTCAGGTCGCAGTCTCCCCTGGAGGCGTGGGTTCGAATCCCACTCCTGACACGCTGACATTTTTGCCCTCCCAACCAACGCCCGCCTCCCGGGCCTCCCGCACACCCGAGCGCCGCCCTTGACCGCCTTCCTGGCCGGCCCGGGCTGGCGCTCCGACCTCTGGCCGCCACGCCAAACTCCAGGCCCCTACACGCACGCCTCTCGACCCCACCAGCTTCTCACGCCTGCCGCTGTGCGGGCCTGGCGCACTCAGCCCAGGAGGCTGCCCCAGCGCCTCGAACCCACTGGCAACTGTTCTTCCCGAAACAGCGCGCGCGCCACCACCCACTCACTCACACACCCTTCCCACCAGACCCCACACGCGGGGGCTTCAGGACTTCGCGCCACATCGTTCCACGCCTGCTCTCGCCTTACCCCTCGGCACACCCACCCCATGTGGTGGTTGTGTAGCCCTCCCTCCTACTCGCACTCCCACGCCCACTCCCGTTCCCACTCCCACTCCCATTTCCCCTCCCCCACCCAACACTGCGTGAGCAAAGCCCTCCACGGGTCACCTTCTGACTTCTGCCTGGTGCACAGCGTCTCGCTCTTGGAGCACCACGCCTGCGCAATGGGCGGCACACCGTCCAACACGCTGTCCTTTCCCACAGCCCCCGGCCGCCCGGCCCGTCCATTCTCTCCACACCCTGCTCAGGTCGCCGTCCCCATCTCGCTGGCCTGTGGTGCCCACCACGACTTTTCACGTCGGGGCCTCGCCCCGGCCCCACGCAGCCCCGCCTTCTGCTCGCCAGCCGACCACAGCGCCCTCCTTGCACGGAGCCTTCCTGGCACGTGGGACCAACCTGGCAAGCTGGCTCCGGGGAGCAGCGAGCCAAAGCCCTGGATCCCCGTCGCCCACACGCACACGTCGGACCCACGGCCGGGGCCAAGCCCCGTCTGCACGCGCGAAGGCGCCTCGGGGGCCCAAACCCACGACGATGGCGCGCGTCCTCCGCGGGCGGCCCGCCCGGCAGCAGACACTCTGCAATAGCGCGCCCGCGATCCAACACCGCGCTCCTGCCTCGCCAAGGCACCCTGGAGCCAGACCCTTGCGGGCGAACCGTCGGCCAGAGCGCAGGCGCCAGGCTCAGGCCCCTCGGGTCTCTTGGCCTGAGCGCCGCTCAGCGGCGGGCGGCCGAGGCGGCGCTCCCCAGCCTGCGGCTCCCACGGCCGCCCCCACGCCACGGCCCTCCCACCCAGCCCTGCCCTGCACGACCCTGCCCTGCCCTCGCCCGGCAGGCCGCGCCGTTCGCCCCCGCGCACGGCCACGAGCCCAGCGCACCCGTGGGGAAGCCCGCCGCCCAGGGGACTTGGGCACGGGCCCGTGGGTCGTCGAAAGGAACGTCACCCGCCACACATCGCAGACCCTCATTGGCATTCGAGCGCGGGCCAGGCTGGGGCGGCTCCTGGCTTCCTCTGGCGACGCTGGCAGGGTCGCGGCGGCCCTGGGCCGGAGACAAGGCGCGGGATGGGCCGGACAGCCCTGCTGTGTCTCGGTGCATGAGTGCCCTGGGGCCTCAGCGCCTGCCCTCAGTCCGAGCGCCCTCCTGGTCCCTGGAGGCTGTTTCAGCTCCCTTGTCCACCGCTTAGCTCAGTTGGAGCATTTGGCCACAGAGGGCAGTGATCAGTGTCGGACGGCTGGTGGGGAGCGCTGCTGGCCTGGCGTCTAGTGGTGGCGGTCATCTGCGCAGGGGTGGTTCAGTGGTACAATTGTTTGCCAGGGGTCACGGCTGGGGTTCGATTGCTGGCCAATGCATCTCAATGTTTTCTTTCAATCCGCTATTCTAATTCTTTCTTTTTCCATTGCAGCATTTATAACGCTGAAACAAACGAAAGCCGTTAGCTGAAGACTGGGTTCTTTTGATTAGGCTCCTCCTCATTTACGAAGTGGGTTTCTTGAAGGCAGCAGAGACCTGGTGACACGGCGCAGCGACTCCGGGGTGACCTCGTCCCCCTGCCCCCTCCTGGGAGAGAACTCGGCAATCAGAGAAGGAAGACGCAGATGAACTGTGGTGAAATGTCCCTCCTGTTGTTCAGACCCGTCCCTGGTGCTTGTGTCACCGTGGAGCATCGTACCCAGAGGCAGGTTGGAAGGCACCGTGTGCATTTTTCCCTGTGGCCAGGAGTCAGGTGGGGAGTTACCTCCTGCAGGCCACAGTCCATCCTATGCCCTGAAAGCCAGAGGGTGAGTGAGTTCGCTGCTCTGCGAAGCCACCTAGCTCCCGTCGGTCCTGCGGCCTTACAAATTGGGTCTCCACCGTATCTCACTTTCTTTAATCCAGAACATCCTATTTGAGCTTTCTAGTGTTTCTACCGGGCGTGGACTTCTGCTGAGAAGCCAAAAGGAGGAGCCTTTCCGGAGACGTGAATGTGGAAATGGAGGAAAGAGAAGCAAAAGGTCTCTGTAAGCTCCTGTCTCCCGGCTGACAGGCAGGGCTTCCACTGTACTGACGAGGATGCGATCTAACGGGAACGTGATACTTTCTAATGGTGAACTTTAGCAGTGTATTTGTTATAATATATCGTTATTTGCCTGATTCAAGGGAAACTAATTTTTAAAAAGAGAAACTAAAAACCCATGCTCGATAGTGGCTCTTTTCTCCTCAAATGGCTCAGAACCCTTTGGAAAGTTCCCGGGGCCTTTGAAGAGGAAGGAGGGGGTGAGGATACAGAGGTCAGTCCCCCTTCTGGACTGGGTTTCTTGGTCAACCCTCTCCCAGTGTACCACTGACAAAGAGCTGGCAAAGTCTTCTGCTACAGAGATCAGCTGTACTGGAAGGTGATCAGTCCACGAAAAAAGGGAATGCATGAAGAAGAGTGCAGTGAATGACTTCCAGAGTGGAAAATGAAACCATCCTCAAAAAGGAGGAACCTATTCTCTTTCATAACTCCAGGAACAAGAGAAGCTGCCAGCTTGCAATTCGTTCACTCTCACATTGTAGGCCAGACAGGCCTGGATGTCAGAGTCCAGACATTTTGTCCAAGGACCTGCAAGAGAAGGGTCCTCCCCTCAGAAGGGAAAAGGTGGTCTGGCCGTGGGTCTGTGCCCTGCTCTGTTCAGGGACTGCCTTGTCCAAGCTCCTCTAACCTTTGCTCCTAGCCCTCAGCAGCCTCGAAACCCCACCTACCCACCCAGCCCCGAGAGTTCCAGGAAAAGCCCTAAAGCAAGCACCTCCGTGCCTGCACATCAACCACAGCATCACACAGGCATTCTTCCGATCTCGTTCACTTCTTTACTTTGTAAGTCAGAGAGGTTGGAGTATAGGGGAGCTTATATATGCATTGCTAACTTTACAACATGCTTCCATGTATCCATTTATGTTTAGGAAGTCAGTTTGAGTATCTTTAAAAGTAGAACAGACATTAAAGTGATGACTGAAATAGACACTGTGAAGTGGAGGCATGCTCATGACCCAAGACTGAGTATGAAAAGCAAGCTGCAGAACAAGATGTGTAGTATGACCCAAAACTGCGTATATGATGGTCTGTGACACCAACTACCTGTCTATCCTTGAAGAAGTCATTTCAACTATCTGGGCCTCAGCTCACTCAGTTTTAAAATGAGGAGATTGGACTGTGTCATTTCCAAGGACTTTCTAGGTTTAAAATTCTCTGATTTCAAATGCTGAAGAATTTCCTCATTCCACAAATATTTATTGACTCCTTTATCATGTGCCAGACACTGACCCGGACTCAGGAATACGGTCGTGAACAAAATAGACACAGGGCCTGCTCTCCCGGAGCTCACAGGCTGATGGGAGGAGGAGTCACACAGTAAACAATTACACAAGAGATTGTTTATTAAACAATTGTCAATTAAACAATTAAACAAGGGGATTAGGGGATGGTGGGAGACTGGGCTTATACTAAAGGATCAAGGAGACCTCACTGATAAGGTGACACTTGAGGAAAGATCATAATGAAGTACGATGTAGATATCTGTAAGAAAGAACCTTCCAGAAACAGGAAATAGCATAAGCCCTAGGCAGAAGTAGAATTCGTGTGTTAAAGGAAGCAAGGAAGAGCAGGAGATGAGGTCAGAGAGGCAGTGAGGAGCAAGATCATGTAGCGCCTAGTAGAACGTTCCAAAGGTCTTAGCTTTCCTCTTAATTGCAAGGGGGAGCTCTGGCATGGCTTTGAGCAAGGAAGGGAAAGAGACAACACACATCTTAAAAAGATCACTTTGGCCGGTGTGGTGAGAATCGACTGTAGGGTGGCAGGGTGAGTGTAGGGAGACCCGTCAGGGAGCTACTGCAGTAACCCAAGTGAGACATGATGCTGGCTTGGACCGAGGTGCTGGTAGTACAGTCCTGAGAAGCGCTCAGATTGCTGGATTGATTGAAAGGAGAGGCAGGATTTACTGAGTTTTTCTAGATTTGAGGAGCCTCTGTTTAGGGGCTATGAAAACACATTTGCTGTGAGTCCTTGTCAAGCTAGGTGGGCTGGACTGTGCCTTGACCTTCAGGAGCTCAGTCAGGGTGTGGCCTGTTGGCATTTAGCTCTGAAGATCACAGGTCACAAGGGTGGTTGGAGTCTCCTTGGCCCAGACCTCATTTGTTTTCAGGGCTCTGGCTCCATCTCACGTTGCAATTCTTCCCATCTCCCACTGATCTTGGAAGGTCTCTCTGCACAGAAACATACAGCCCTGTATCCACTGCAAACAGGAGTCCCATCACCAGGCAGAAAGCGATTTGAAACCAATGTAGAAAGAAGAATACAGTTGCCGGACCTAATAAGAGAGGCAGAGGGATGAGATGATTGACAGTTGTTAAGGCAGTAATTTGGAATAAACAGTCAGGTCCCTGTTGGGGAGCCTTTGTGAAGTCACTCAAGCCAGGGGCTAAGGCCAAGGCCAAGAGCAGACAGGAGCCCAGGAAGTCTTCCTAGGATCTCTTCATCTCTCGCCTTCCCAAATAAAGCTCTGGATCAGCATTTCCCAAAGGGTGACCTTGCACGTGTGTTCTGAGGGACATTAATAGAAGTTAAACAGGAAAAAGGTTTTGTGGTCACCTAGGTTGGGTAGATGCCTTATAAAACTTAAGTTAAAAAAGTTTTTTTTTACAATACGACTTCCAGAAGTCTTTAACGAGCATTATGAATATAAATGGGAGGAACAGAGTACTCAGCATCTTCTGCACTAAGGACCACACAATCATTCATTCTGAAAAGCCTCTCAAGGAGTTTATTTTGGGAAATATTGAACTGGGAAATCCACAGACCACATCAACACGTTGTCACCTCCTCTGAGCCCAGGACTGGGTGGTATTCATGGACCAAGACTGTAGCTTGTGATGCCTCCTGAAAGGGCATCATATGGATTTCACAACACACAGTTTCTCAGGAGCAGACAGAAGCCTAGTTCTTTGCTTGTGGAGAGAGATCCTCATGCCAACATGGATGCCCAGAGCTTAGATGGGAGCCTAGGCTGGGAGGGTGAGCAGGGAGGCACAAGAAGCCTCAGAATCCTAGAGACAAGAGGGCCATATGGCAAAGTGGAGTGGTTTGAATGAGGTGGGAACAGGGAGGGTGGTTATGTCTGGTGGATGGATTTGGGGGGATGAAAAGGTGGCTTCTGTCCCCTGAAAGTTAAAACTTCAGGTGAATCACACCTGTTTCTGTAATCCCTGAGGAATGAGCTGAGACAGAGCTGCAAAGCCACACAGCCATCATGTCCAGCTAGGAGTTTTAGACTTCCTGTTGACATCAAAGAGGCCCACTCAGGAGGAGGCAGGTACTGAAATTCAAAAAAGATTAGTGATCCTCTCCCTACGCATCCTTCCAAGGCTGTAAGCTCCTAGAACAGCCTTGGTTCTCACCTTGGACAGTGATCTTCACAGGCTGTGACGAGAGCTGCATCCGATCTATAGTTCCTGAGCAGCGGTACTCGCCACTGTGGTTGCAGTTTGCTCGTAGGATGGAGAAGGTGGAAGTGTTATGGAAAAACGTCAGGGATTTTCCATTCTGGAAGAATGTGATCCTGAACAGACGCTTGCTTTGCAACTTGTGGCACCTCAGGTGGATGGGCTCCCCCTCTTGGAACACCAGGCGAGGGGTCTGGAGCAGCAACCAGTCTGAAAGACACAATGTTGGAAGGAAAAGTTCTAAGGCTGGATACCAAGGCCCTTGGAGCCTCATGCGTGGGGTGACATTACTTACAGAATTTGAAAAGATGTTGAGCAGAGGAACTGAAGATTCTTCATGGCAAGAGTGAGTGCTCTCTTACAGGGAAGACATGGTATTATCTGTGGGACCTCTAAAGGATAGTTTTCAGAAGTTCCAAAGATGAATAGTAGGAATCCCAATCCCAGGGCAGGGGTGTGGGGTGATTTTGAGGAATTCAAAACACTGTACAGGATAAGGAAATGAGTGCATTTCAGTAACTGTAGAGGTTGCTGAACAGGACCTGAAACCTTCAGTTTGTGTGGATACAGCATTTGTGGTCAGGGGATTATTAATTTAATGGTAACTTTTGAACTGTTTTGGAAAAGGAAGGTGAGCAGCCATTAACCATATTAGCAAGGAAGCAGAGCTTTAATAATGCCTCACCAACCCTGAATGGAATCTTCCATCCACATTAAAATGGAAATGTGTGACCTTACGAATTCAGTATTCAGTTGTGACTCTGAACAAGAGGAGCATTAAAGAAAGCTTTTTAACTTAAAATCACTTTTCCTCCCTCCTTACAAAGAGTCCCACTCCCAACCAAGGGCTCCCTTCACTGAGGGCACAGGAATCAGATTCTGAAGTGTGGCTACCTTGGAGGGCTATAGAGAGTGTTTCAATAAACCAAATAGAGAAGAAAATCAAATTATTCTATTTATTATAAAAAGAAATACTAGAATTTATTACATCTTATTTAAAAGAAAACTCATTTAAGAAAACAGTATCCTGTACACGAAAGGCAAGGTACTGTTGTTCAGACAGCGTGAGACAGAAATCTGAAGACAGGATTCTGATTGTGGCCCTACCGTTTCCCTCTGTGCTCCTAGGGCTCACGGGCTTAATCTCTTTGCACAATGGAGGATGGGACGAGGTGGTTTCCCTCTAATGACCATTCAGAACCAAGTTTTGCTAAATTTATACTTTTACATTTTAGTAGGAAGACTCAGAAGTACAACCAGCTGTTTCTGAGGTGGCAATGCACCAAGAGAAGAGTTGGGTAGCTGTGATGTCATTGGTCAGGTGTGTGAGGTTGAGTCAATATTTATTTCCCTTTCCATTGAGCACCATCAACAGAAAGTGACTCCACCACCAGCATCTCTGGCACAGGACCTTAAAAGACTACCAGAAAATCACCCTCCTGATGTGAAACAGAATTAAAACACTGAAAGCTCACATGTGACCATCTTCAGGGTTTATGCACCAAGATGCAGCTGAAGTCAACTACAATATAAATGGCTCATATTTCAGACATTGGAAGGGGGGTAATACAGTGTCTAGGAGCATTTCCCTACAGAGTCTATTAAACTGAACACAGTCAGATATTTACATAAACCTACGTCAGATCCTGTGACTCCTTTAATTAAACCCATCTAATGAATTCTCATCTCCTTCAGGAATATCAGTTCAAGTCATCATACCAGACTACCAGCTGCCAGATGGTTGGCCCCTTCCCAGCCCCCTCCCCTCTGACCTCATCTTCCAGATTCCATATCTCCCTCTGGTCTCCTGCAGCATGGGCAGAATGACCTCCTCACCTGCCAGGCACACTCTCAGCTTAGGACCTTTGCAGTCTGGTTGCCTTCAATCCCTGAGTTTTACCACACAGCCATGAGGGTAGGATGGTTTTATGGAGCAGAAATTTCCTTCTGCTTCTCTCACCTCCGGCTGCTTGTTTATGGCCAAGTAACCTTCCTACTCAACTAGGACTGAGGCCAAACAGCCTAACGTGTTCTGAGGAATCTCTTAGGAACTTCCACCCTGACCACACACACCAAGCAAAGAGGGTTGGTGAAAAGTTAAGTGAGTGGGCAAGAACTATGTCAAACAATTCACAGCGATGGTTTCCAGTAAACAGGCACCCCTGTTTCCTAAAAACTTCTACCACATCAATAGATTTCATCTCTCCTTGTCCTCCCAGACCTTCCCCAGAACTTCCTCCACTGACCGGAAATCACATCCAGATGCACAGGGTCACTGAGGCTCGTGTGGCCCGTCTGGCACCTGTAGTCTCCACTGTCATTGTTTTGGGCCTTAAAGCTGTAGCTGGGCTGGACCTGGGTCGGGATGGGGCTCCCATTATGGAACCACTGAGTGGGGTTGTCCTCAGGGGTATGGGCCCCCTGGCACTTCAGAGTCACATAATCATCCTGCAGCACGTTGATCCATGGGGGCTCAAGGCTCACCACAGCCTTCGGGAGACCTGCTGAGGGACAGAGAGCAGAAAGGGATGGGAATAAATAACCTTGGAGGGACCATAGATTCCAAAGGAGTTCCCAGGGGAGACCAGGGGCCAGAGAGTCCTACTGCAGACCCAATTAAAGATCTGTGTACTTCTAGCAGCCTCATTCCCTTTAGATCTTTGGTGGATCCAATGGGAATCCAACCAAGAATCAAATCCCAGGTCCCACTAAAATGGGGGAACCACCCCTGCTGAACCCAAGCCTGGTTCTTGGTGGAACAGACATTTCCCTACATGGGAAATAGAGCCTCACATTGTGAGGCAATAACACCATAAACCCAAGGAAACAAAGAGCAAACTCACCAGCTCCTCTGTCTGCAGAAGCTATAAAAGAGAAGAGAATGGATCAGTGTAGAGCAGGAAAGATGAGGGGAGCGAACGTAGCAGGATGGGTGTGGAGAGAGGGAGAGGGAGGTGATGTTGGGCTCCTTCTTCCCCAGGACCCATCTCAGAGCCTGTTTCTAGTCACGTTGTTTCCAGTTTCCAGCCTGTTTCCAGTCCTCTTATAAGAGTACTCATTTCTCATGTCCTCCTCACCTCAGCCCTGTCTCTCCACAAGGCTACAAGGGAAACATGAATGTGTGGGGGCAGGGACTGTGAAAGAACCTCTGAATTCCAATCTGAGGAACCAGTGGAATGGTAATAATTCAGGGTTCTCTCTCCCCTTTCCATCTGTCCCCCACTTCCAGGGCCCAGGGCTGCCCCTCATCACACTGACCCCTGGAGCCCTCACAGAAGTGACTGAAACTGCCCTGTTCCACGATGACCCTCACTCACCCAGCAGTAGCAAAACGGTCAGTGGTTGAAGCAGCCACAGGTTACCAGGATGTACATTTGGAAACATCAGGATCTCCATAGTCATCCCAGAACTGGGCCTGAGTCCAGTGGCGTTTGGGAGATGAACTTAGAAAAGAGGAAGGAAATTGTTACATCCTTTCATTCAGTTTCATAAGTCACCAGACTCCATTTCTGCTAATCAGTCAGTAACAAATCAGAGGAGCAGTTGAGTCTGCTTTACAGACAAATCTTTCTTTCATGTATCACCTTGTTTGGTCCTGTGAAAACCCTGGGCAGGGGTTCTTGTGCCGGTGAGGAAATTGACGAGGGGAAACACCAGGAAGCAGAGCTGACAATGGAGCCCTTGTCTTGGGTTCTCAGTTCAGCCCCTTCCGACCACACTCCCTGTGCTGCCTCTCTGGCCAGTAGACAGGAAGTTTTAAATGAATTTCAACACAGGCAAGATGAAGAAACCCATTAACTGTGCAACCAATAAGAATCAATGTTAAATGACCACAACACAGTGGAGCAGTTATCTGCAGGAAAGACTCCATCCAAGGAAGTCTCTAAGTACCCTGCAGGCAGGGCTATCTTTCTTTCACCTGCCCTTCACCCCTGGCCCTTCTAAGCCAAAAGAAAGTTTTCAAGTACGAGAAATAATTTTGCTAAGAAAGCCATAAAGTGTAGTATACCTGGTGTGCAGAGTTCATTGACTTCCCCATCTTCCGGAGACACTGGGCCCTGGGCCCTACATGAGAGAATGTGTCTATGCTTAGGGCCAGAGATGACCACTTCGACCGTGACCCCAAGGCTCAAGTTAATAAGAACATGTCGTGCGTCATGTTTCTTGTCTGGGCTGGCCACCCTGAGGGACACCTGACTGGACTATAGAAACATCCCATCAGTGGGAACAAGAAGAAATCACTCAAAGTATCCAAATACCTGAAACCCTGAGTTAGAACCCAGATAACCTTAGGATCAAAGGGAGTAACATGCACAGAACAAACGAGAGTCTCACTGAGGAGAGGATGCTGTGCCCCAGACCTGAATAATCGGCACTCCCGCCTGCTGTAAACCTTTTGGGACTTGCCCAGCTGATTGTGGTGTGGATGTTGTAAGTACTGATTTGTAGCTCTCTGCCTTCTTTTCCCCACTTTATTCCCCTCACAAACAAACTCTGATTGCTTAAACAACGAAGTAGCTTTGGCAGTACCTGTCATTTCTTATCCCCTACTGTTGTGGGAAACATTTTTTGGGGTAGTCAGCAGGATCTGCACTTATGGCCTTCTTGTTTAAGAAATCAGAGATCATTAAAGCTCCTATTGAGGTCCTGGGATGGGAGCACCCCTAGTTTTCTGCATTGGCCCAGGAATGGGGTCATAGATCAGTACTGTGTGAGGCATGGGATAATAAGCTCCCTATGTGGGAGCCTATTCATATAATGAAGGCATTGCAGACAGTAAAAGGAAAAGATGACACTGCCTTCTCGGCTAGAAGAGGGTGGTGCCTGTTACACGCCTTCCGTAGGGCCATAGAAGATTGGGACCACATATTGAAAGAAAAAGTATTACTGGAGAAAGAGCTGTCTGGTTGCCAGTCTCGGCTAGCCATGATGCAATGTCAGAAGTATGTGTGAGGGGATCAAGCTAGGACCTATCAACATGTTGCCAAAAAGGCGGCTGTGAGTCTGGCAAAGTATAAGCACCACCACCGCCAGGGGCAAGTGAATGTAGAAAAGGTTCATATGGCAATTGCCCTGGCTGGCCCTGATTGAGACCCTGATATTAGGATGGCGACATCTGGGATGATGATGAGAATCCCTCCTCAGATGAGGAGGCTTTGCCGGCCAGGACCATCCCTGCTAGACCCCCACGACGCCACCACCTAGAACAACAGGGAGATTGGGAAGTGTGGTGAGACGTAGTAGAAGACTTTACCCAGTAAGAAATTTCCGATATCCGAATACAACTGGATTCAGGAGATGCCTATAAATTTGTTACTGTTTCCACAGAGCCTACAGTGCATAGTGCTTTTAGAGACCGGGGTGTAGTGCCCCATGATGTTCAAGACAATCGAGCAGCTGATGGCATTACTTTGTTATCCTTGGCTGTTCGGGGGGCCCAGGACAAATATCCCACTGATGACGTGTGGCCAGATGCTGATCAGCCTCGGCATACCTTGAGGGATTGTTGTCAACGGATCAAGGAAGAGGCGATGAAGTGACCTTTTTTTCTGGGAGTGGCGGATGCATTGGCAAATATGCCTTTTAGTGTCCAAATACGTAATCGTATCATCAAAACAGCTCCACATGCCTATAAACGCCTATAAACAAGTCATTATGACACTATTGTTAAAGGAAACTGATACCATTATTTCAGAGGTATTGGAAAAGATTTCACAATTAGGAGATTTCGGAGATTGAGCAAACGCTTCTGAGGAAGTTGGCAGTCGCCAAGAGGACTTGCAAAACCGAAAGGAAGGAATTTCTCAGAAGGATATGTTGTCAGCCCTTCTACAGGCAGGGGTTCCTAAAGAACAGGTTGATGGGGCAGAAACTAGGGATCTGTGGCGTTTGTTCAAGGAAAAGGGTTTGCATGTACAAAAAGCCTCAGGAGGAATTCCACCAGAGAAAAAGGAGGTACCCCCAAGTAAACGAAATATAACCCCCTCGGCTGACCCTCTTTTTGCTGATTTATTAGCTTGACATGAGGGCCAAACCACTGTACAGGAGGTTAGGGCTGCTGTTAAAACGGATGCCCATCCTCATGGAGCTCTAACAATTTTTTGGAAGAATGGTTCAACAACAGTGACCCGAGCATTGGTGAATATGGGGGCAGAGGCCACCCTGATTTATGGCAATCCTACAAAATTTAGAGGTCAAAAAATTCGTATTACAGGTTTAGAAGGAAAAGAAATTTCTGCAGTAGGCACACGTTTGACCATACAGATAAGACAGCTACCAAAGCAAACGTATCTGGTGATGATAGTTCCAATTCCAGAATATATAATTGGCATCGACATTTTAAAGGGATTAACATCACAGTTAACAGATGGACAATATCAATTTGGGATACGTTCCTTGACATACTTTAACCTTTCTGTCATCATTGGATGTATTAAACACAAGGTGGAACTACCCCCTGCCACCTCAGTTGTACATATGCGGCAATATAAAATTCCAGGGGGTCAAGAGGAAATTTCAGATACTATTCAAGAATATCTTAACACTAAAGTATTGATACCCATAACCACAGAATGGAATAATCCTATTTGGCATGTTAAAAAAAGTGATGGCTTCTGATACATGACAGTAGATTATTGAGAACTAAACAAGGTGTCTCCTCCCTTAATTGCTGCTGTGCCTGATGTGGTCACCTTAATAGAAAAAATACAAAGACATCCTGGTGTTTGGTAAGCAGTAATTTATTTACCAAATGCTTTCTTTTCTTCTCTTTTTTTTTTTTTTTTGAGGAAGATTAGTCCTGAGCTAACATCTGCTGCCAATTCTCCTCTTTTTGCTGAGGAAGGCTGGCCCTGAGCTAACATCCACGCCAATCTTCCTCCACTTTATATGTGGGACGCCTACCACAGCATGGCTTGCCAAGCAGTGCCATGTCCACACCCAGGATCCAAACCGGCGAACCCCGGGCCGCCAAAGCAGAACGTGCGCACTTAACCGCTGAGCCACCAGGCAGCCCCAAACGCTTTCTTTTCTATACCTATTGCTAAGGCAGTTCAATCACAGTTTGCTTTCACCTGGTTGGGATGACAATATACGTTTACTAGATTGCCACAAGGATATATACATAGTCCAACTATCTGTCAGAGAGAGGTGACGGAAACACTGTCTCACACTTCAGTAGATTCAAGTACACAGTTAATACATTACACTGATGACATTTTAATTCAGGGATTAAGTCACGAAAGGGTAACTTGTGCTTTACAATCAGTGTTAGAAGTCCTACGGGAGGAAGGATGGAAGACGAATCCCGCCCAAATCCAAGAACTGGCACAAACTGTTACCTTCCTGGGGATAGTTTGGAATAAAGGACAGCAAGAAACTTTATCCAAAGTGAAGCAAAAGATCTTGAGCTTTGCCCCTCCTTGAAACAAAAAGGAGGCTCAAAAATTTATCGGTCTGTTTGGTTTCTGGTGGCAACACATTCCACATTTAAGTTAAATTTTAGCCCCTCTATATCCAGTTACCCGGAAAAAATATCAATTTCAATGGGACCAGCAAGAAAAGGATGCTTTTGAAAATGCTAAGCAGGCCATACAAATGGCTTTAGATTTATGGCCAGTATGAGAGATCCGCCTGGCCTATTGAATTGCAAGTCCACACAGCAGGTGGATATGCAAATTGGAGTACTTGGCAAAAACAGGATGGATAAAGGTACCTTTGGGGTTCTGGACTCGGAAGCTACTGGAGGCTGCCAAATGTTATACCCCTTTTGAGCAACAGTTATTATCACGTTATTGGGGGTTCTTGGAAAGTGAAGCACTGAGTATAGGACATGAAGTTATATTATGACCCCAAATACCTATTGGATCCAAGGGACACCTGCATCCCACCGAATTGAGCATGCTCAAGAAGCTAGTGTAATTAAATGGAAATGGTATATTCAAGATAGAATGAAACCAGGGCCCAAGGGACAAGCATTGTTGCCTGAACAAGTATTTGATCCCACACTCCAAGGCTCCCCAGAAATTAATAAGGAAAGCCCTCAGGAACAAGAGTCCCCCATTGGATCGGGACTACCCTTTCAGCAATTAACGGCAGAACAGCAACGGCATGCTTGGTTTACAGATGGTTCAGCACGAGTGGTAGCTGGAGCTCGGTGCTGGAAAGCGGTCACTTATAACCCCACATCCCAGAAAACTTTAGAAACCCAGGGAAAGGGAATGAGTAGCCAATATGCAGAGCTGTATGCAGTTTACCAGGCCATCAAGCAAGAGCTAGGAGGACAATGTTATTTATACACTGACTCATGGTCAGTAGCTAATGGGTTAGCAGTCTGGACGCCAAGATAGGATAAACATGAATGGATGCTTGGTAACGGAGAAATTTGGGAAATGCCATTATGGCAAGACATCTGGCTGTGGAGTTCCTCAATGATTATTACTGTGTTCCGTGTTGATGCTCATGTGTTGCCTACCTCTACAGAACACCTATATAATCAGCATGTGGATCATCTGGCTACAACCACATCAGTCGTTACAACAGCTTCTTCTTCAGAACTAGCCCAATGGGTCCACCAGAAAAGCAGTCACTTGGGAGCAGAAACTGCTTCCAAGTGGGCACAGCAGCGTGGGTTACCTGTAACATGGGATCAGCTCGAGAGTGCCTCATCAATGCCCTACTTGCCAAATTCAGAATAAAAAAGCAATTCCCCATCCCAAAATAGGGCAAATCAAGAATGGGCTTTATCCTGCACAAATATGTTAAATATATTATATTGGACCTTTGCCCTCACATCATGGAAAGATTTACATTTGTACTGTAGTAGATACATTTTCTGGGTTTTGGGTGGCCCACTCACATAGGCGGGCTACCGGATAGAGAACTCCTAAAATTTTGGGAATTATACAACTCTATTTTGGCACTCCTCAGCAGATCCAAAGTGATAACGGTACCCACTTTAGAGGTGAGTGAGTTCAGTGTTTGGCTAACACATGATATTCAGTGGATATATTATATACCTTATGATCCAGAAGCTGCTGTTCTTATTGAGAAAATGAAGGGTCTCTTAAAAACCCAACTGAAATGCCTACAGCCGGAGTGGCAGGGCGAGTAACGTACGTGGAGGGTGCCAGGCGGCCTTGTCGGAGTGCCAGGACACAGGGTAAAAGCAACAAGAATGCGACCTCTGGCGTAGGCTAAAAGTGTGTGTGGTGGGGGGAAGGGGTCGCGGCCGCCCGCACCACGCCAGGGATCGGGAGGTCGGTCGGCCGGCTGGCAGAGAGGAAGAAAAAAAAAATTGCTTCCCTGACCGGGAATCGAACCCGGGCCGCGGCGGTGAGAGCGCCGAATCCTAACCACTAGACCACCAGGGAGCGTCGGGCCTTCCGCCTTGTCTGTGCCTCCTGGACTCGGGGCCCGTAGCCCGCCCGCTCGCCGCTCCCTCGCCAACGGCCCCCTGCCTTCCGCAGGCCAGCCGCCCTCCGCCCAGGCCCAGGCACGCACCCTCGCCTGCTTCCTGCTCGCCGCGTCCTCAAAACGCTGCGCGCGCCTCCTGCCCGGACATGCACACACAGCCGCATGAATGCCTCCCGCCGCCCGCCTCCGGGGGCAGGAGGGCCCCGCAGCTCGGCAAAAGGTCGGCCCGCTGCGTTGGCCGGGAATCGAACCCGGGTCAACTGCTTGGAAGGCAGCTATGCTCACCACTATACCACCAACGCCGCACGGCCCGGTCTCTCCCGAGATGCCGACCCGGAGCTCCAGCCACAGCCGACTCGCCGCCGCCGCTGCCGCCTGGCGCAGCCCTGCTCAGAGGCCCCGCCCGCCCACAGCGCGGCGCTGCCACCGGCGCCACCAACCGCCGCCCCCCCCCCCCCCCCCGCCGCGCCCGGCGCGGCAGCCCTCGTCCGCCGGGACGGACCGCCTCTGGGGGGCGCCCTCGCTGCCATTCCACAAAGCGGACCCCGACGCCGACCGCCCCGCCAAACCCGCGGCCGGGCACACGTCCTCCACCGGCCGGCTCGCCCCAGCCCTTCTCCACCGGCTGCTCGGCGAGGCAGCTTCACGCACCAAGAGGGGACCCACCCGCCCCAAAAACCACGAACGAAAAGGCAGCTGTGCAGCTGCGCGTCGCGTCGCCCGGAGCCTAGTGCGCCAACAGCTTGGGGCGTGCCGCTCGTCGGGCGCGGCGGGGAGCAGAGGAAGCCTTGGCTCGGCCGTGCCGAAGGAGCGCCCGACGACGAGGGGGCCTCGGGGAGGGCTCCCCGTGGGCAGGCTGGGCACGGATTGGCGTGGAGGGCGGGGCAGGGCGAAGAAGCGCCCTCGGGGGCTGGAGGGCGGGGCGCGGCAGGGCGAAGAAGGGCCCTCAGGGGCAAGCGGCCGGAAGCAGAGCGGCGCCAGCCACCAAAAAGGGACGTCTTGCCTCCCCATCGGGGAATCGAACCCGGGTGTTCCGCGTGACAGGCAGGGATACTCACTGGCGGGGTCGGAAAGCCGAAGAGTGGAAAAGAAAGATTTCTTGGACTCTCAAGGTCTGGCAGTAGTGCTCTTTTATTTAGAGAATAGTGTGGAATAGCATGGGGACAGGACCCGTGGGCAGTAAAGAGCTGCTGCATGGGGACAGGACCCATGGGCAGTCAGAGCTGCTGCTGAAAACATGCGTTGAGAATAGGGCTAAATTTATAAGGCATGGGTACGTGACTTTTTACTGGAAAAAGAAAAGATGATGTAAAAAGTCATTAAACGGTTTCAGTGCAGATGGGGTCTGGTTATTGTGTGGTCGTATAACTTTAGATATGAATCTGGTCATATAGATTCGCATTAGGCCAGGTCACCTTGGGCTTCTCTCCCTGGGGCAGCCTTGATCCACATCATAAAATCCCCCCGAACCCATTTGGTCCCGAAATCTTTTGCGGATATGGACGATGGTCAATATTCTGTAACTACTTCTGGCTGTACAAGGTCATAGAGCTGTCCCTAAATGGGGCCATAGGTACAGGTAGGCAGTTCAGCGGACCAGAAGGTTGCACCCGTGGAGCCCAAGGCTGACAAGGTATACAGATCCTCTGGAGATGAGAGAATCATTTGACGAGAGGTGGTCCAGAAGGTGAAACTTTGTTGACATGCAGAAGACAAACAACGAAATAGACAACAAATTATAATAAGAAATACAAGCGATATGATTAACCCAACGAATAAGGTTTTGATAGTAGTCCAGAAACCTGGTCCTGACCAAGAGTTCAACCAATCATTTAGAGGTAGGGTAGGGTCAGACATGGATTTAATTTGGTGGCTCATATCAGATAGGAAGCCAGAGATATTTTGATGGTAGTCAGGAATATAGACCCAACATTCGGTTTTTATAATGGTGCAAGTGCCCCCGTGTGTTGCTGTCAAGACATCCAGTGCCATTTGGTTTTGGAGGACTGCCTTGGGCATTTGGGATACTTCTAAATCGAGCAGCGAAAGGCTATGTTGTGTATCATTTAATGCCTTCATAGTGAATTTGTTTAGGACTTCCATGTGCAAGATGACACTTTTGATTCCTAATTGGGGAAGGAAAATTGAGGCAACATGGTCATACCAGTGGAAGACACAGCAGGTCCAGCGCTGTTGCAGGTTGGGTAGGTTAGCAGGAGGAGATATCGTAAATGTAGTTCTACCTTGCATCCAGACAAAGCCTAGGGTGCATCGTCCAATCCATCCAGGTGGCAGCCAAGGCCGTAAGTTGGAGCCACATAACCACTGAGTGCCATTAAGGGCTAAGCAATGTATGCTGGGCCGTCTATCCCAGT